ACCCCATAGAACCTAGACAACAAAGAGGAATCTAAGAGAGACATACATGGATGTACTCTACATTGGAAGTAGAAAAAGACAAGGTCTCCTGAGTAAATTGGGAGCATGGGGATCATGGAAAAGAGTAGAAGAAAAGGGGAAGAAAGAGAGGGAAGTGAAGAAAAATATATACCTCAACAAAAACAATTAAAAACAGAATACAGTAATTGGGAAGTCTTAGCAATAAACTCCATGGTACTAAAATTTAAAAAAAAAAAGAGTCAAGTGGTTTGCACAGTTAATCAGATTGCTACTCTATGGCTATGAATTCTCTTATATACATAGTATTGTTCTTAGACTTTCTAACTATTTCATTTTTCCAGTTTCTTTATTTAATCATCATTACTTATTATTTTAGTTAGGGTTCTATTGCTGTAATGAAACAACATGATCAAAAATCAAGTTGAGGAGGAAAGTCTTTATTTGGTTTATACTTTCAGATCACAGTCATTGCAGGAATTCAAAACAGAAACTCAAGCAGGGCTGGAATCTGAAGGCAAGAGCTGATGTAGAGGGCATGAGGGCATGAGGAATGCTGCTTACTGGCTGGCATCCCCTGGGTTGCATAGCCTTCTCTCTTATAGAACCCTGGACCAGCAGCCCAGGGATGGCACCACTACAATGGACTGGGCCCTCCCCCAGTGATCATTGAGAAAATGCCTTACAACTGGATCTCACAGAAGCATTTCCTCAAGTGAGGCTCCTTCCTGTCTGATGACTTTAGCTTGTGTCAAACTGACACACAAAGCCAGCCAGTACACTTTTTATGCTGAAGTCACTCATATCAGACATTCTCATCTCTCTCTTCAACACAACCCCAGGAAGTTCCCGATTCTTTTGCAGATGCTGTTCTGCCGTCTTGGGCCACTCCTGTCCACTCTGGTTTGTAGCCACTGCTTCTCTCTACTCACTGATTTTTACCACCAGTGTTTTCTGACTCTTCGATGACAGGAAATAGTTTTTCTTCTCTTTACCCTCACGTTTGATTCTTTGTACAAGTTTAGAATTAAACATTAAGGAGTCATTTCTAACCAGAATTGTTTTTTTTTTGGGGGGGGGGCGGTTCAAGACAGGATTTCTCTGTAGCTTTGTAGCCTGTCGTGGAACTAGATCTGGTAGAATTTTGAAGGAATTTTTTCTTTTTTCTTTTTTTTTTCCAAAGGCAATCAATGACAGTGAGTAAACTTGAAATAATGGATGAGATGTGCCCTGATTTTGTTCAGCATTCCTATATAAAACATAAACAACTTAACATTTAGAAAATCACATGGAAACAAAGGTAGTTTCAGATTACGTTAGCTCTGTAATGGGCAGAGTCCTCCTACAGAAGAAATGTGGAGTTCTTTGTTAATAAGTTACAAAGAATTTCAACATGCTGACAGTAGAGTACTAAGCCAAGCTACAGAGCCTTCTGGTGGCAAGGCCACTTACACCAGCCATATCATCACCAACCCAGAAGTTCCAGTCTCTTGGGAAATAAATTCTCATCTCTAACGCTATACTGATTAGATAGTGATTACTTGGGTTGTTAGAGCAGGAGTAATTCAATCAACATGGGCAGAATGACCTTTCAGTTTAATGTAATCGCATTTTCACACACTAAACAAGAAGATTTGTTTGTCCCTGGTCTTTGCTCTTCCCTGACAGTCTAGGACTTAGCCTCCTCACTTGCTCTCATTCCTTTGTCTTTATTTGTTTGAAACAGTGTTGCTGCATAACAAGGTCATGGCTGAGAACGATTCAGACATAGACTTGGTATGCTATGCATTTAGGATATTGGAGAGTTAGAACTTCAAGGAGTTGATTCAACATCATTTTAACCATCTTAACGGGGAAACTCATACCCACTCAGTCCACCTGGGAGAGCCACTGCAGCAATTTAATCTCTTCATTTTAAGATGAAGAAATTAAAGCCCCAAAGAGACTAACTCGTTGATTTCACGGTAAGTTCTAGACTTGAATCCCCTTCTGCCATTCTGTGTAACCTCCATGCCATATATTACTTTCTTAGGCCAGCTGTTGTAGGTCTATATACCTTTGGCCCATGTTTAAAACAAAACAAAACACTCACACAGACTATATATAAGATGGGGATGATCCGAATCTCCTGCAGGTCCTCTGAATCTGTGTGTGTCTATGGGAATCTGTGTGCACATGTAGGAATCTGTGTGCGCCTGTGGGAATCTGTGTGCACATGTGGGAACCGGTGTGTACATGTGATAATCTGTGTGCACATGTGGGAATCTGTGTGCACACATGGGAATCTGTGTGCACATGTGAGAACCTGTGTGTACATGTGAAAATCTGTGTGCACATGTAGGAATTTGTGTTCACATGTGGGAATCTGTGTACACACGTGGGAATCTGTGTGTACATGTGATAATCTGTGTGCACATGTGGGAATCTGTGTGCACACATGGGAATCTGTGTGCACAAGTGAGAATCTGTGTGCACATGTGGAAATCTGTGTGCACATGTGAGAATCTGTGTGCGCCTGTGGGAATCTGTGTGCGCACATGCGAGTAGGCAAGAAGGGAAGTCAGCAGTGGTAATGTTTGTCTTTAGCCATTCTTTCTTCCTTATCACCATAAACTAAACAAGGAAACAGAATTTGTCTGACCTCAATTGTCCATGGAAATCAATTTGTCACTTGTCTGGAAACTTTCACAATCAGCCTGAATGTCAGTGTGTCATTGGGTCTCAGGACTTACGGGTAGACCTGCTCACTCTTCCACCTCCCACCCTCTACTATCCAGGCATTTCAGCTCACAAATAAACATGTGCTCATGAATACTCAGTCTACAAGTTCTGCTTGTTTGTGTTTTTACTCGAGTAGTACATGAATTTCGACTGATACTCCCTCACTTGGCTGTAGTTTTTAGGCAATTTGGGTAATTTTCTTAGTACTGTTGAAATCACTGCTTTATAGTTGTCTTGTCTTGTTCAGTTGGAATAATAGAACCTCATCTTCCTTTTGGCTTTGGTAGGTTGGAAAGAATTTTTAAAAGTCTGGTAATCTATTTTTTTTGTACCTGCCTCAACTTCTGTGACTTATATTCTTCATCATCTAAGAGAAACTCCTTTTCAATAGATTTCCAACCTGGACAAAAACAAACTGCCAGTAGCCAAATTGCTGCCCTGTGGCCCACAGACAATTTCTAGAATCTGGTTCTAACCTCTCTGTGTACCTCTAAATCAAAGGAAAAAGTGGCAGAGTAAGTCACTGTGGGTTGTCTGGCCCTATGAAAATGTCTTTGTATGTATGTAATTTCTAGTTTTTCTTTGCAGGAAAGAACGTAAAAAGTAATCTTATTAAAAAGGTATTTCTCAAATGCCAAAGAAATGCTTGCACTGTAGAGTATAATAGAAAATCCAGTACCTATGGAAGAATAAAATTGGAGGTACAATCTTTGACTACTTAGAAACTATTTTAAGTAGTATTCCACTAATGGCCAGAATGTCTGATACTGTTTATTTCACAAAACATAGAAGAGTATCTCCAAGTTATGGCTTTTATCAGTAAATATCTAACTTTTGAAAAATATGAATTCTTTTTTAATTCACCATGCTCAACAAACAAGCAAAAGTGGAGAGAAGGAGAGAGAGAGAGAGAGAGAGAGAGAGAGAGAGAGAGAGAGAGAGAGAGAGAGAGAGAGAGGAAGTGTGCTTCAAATACACACTTATTTCAAGATAATAGCCTGGCTACAGGGCTAGGCAGTAGGAAGCTACAAAAGCATCAATCATTTTCCCAGTTAGTAGCATCTGTGTTCTTTGGGGAGCACTTGTGTGAGGTAGATTGTGCCCTTGTCCTCACCTGGGCAGAGTAGAAGCTGAGATTGCCTAGCCTGATCTGTGAGGGAAGGGAAAGGAGGGCAGACTTGACCTGGCTGGCTTCACCACCCCCTCCAGGTTTGTTTTGTTTGCCTTTGTCCCTCCGCGACTCTTGCACTCATCGGCCGAAAGTCACCTCCAATCTTCCCATAAACACTGGCAGGTAAACCAGATTTTCTTGAGCAGCGCTACATCACTTCCTCTAGACTGGATTTTCAAGTTTGGGATCTGAAACTTGAAAAATAGAAGAGGAAAATACATGAATAAATATAGAATATATTCATTGACAAGATGTCTGTTTTTTCTTACTGTTTGTTCATCTAAGTAATATTCACTGCATGCAACTGTGTATTACTAAGTACTGTATGTAAATGTATAGTGTACATATTGTATGTGTTAGAATAAATTAGATTTCTTAAGGAAACCTACACTCTTGTGAATTAGCCACTAAGTCAAATAAACGTTGCTATGGTAAGAAATAATCAAGACTCCATAATTTAGAAATGAGGGTCAGAAAGACTTCTCCTAGGGATTAAAAAATAAAAATATCTAAAAAATAATTGAATATTAGTCACAATATTCTGGATGCACTGGTCCTCCAAGTTTTCTCATCTAAAAATAGCTCTGCATATATCTACATAGATGCAAAATAACTGTAGTAGATAAGTGTGAACATTTGCCAACAGAAATTTTAATATTTCTAGGGTTAAAACCAAAGTCATCCAGCAAACTCACATCTGCTAGCATTATAAGAGAAGAACCCAAATAAATACTTTATTATTTGATGTCAATAGGGTTTACTATAGTGACATAGTAGAAAAGACATCAATAGGAAGATATATATCTTCTCCTAGCTCTGGGAAAGACATTGAAAATTGCAATGTGAGTGAGAGAGGGGAGCTGCATATTCTGGTAAGCATGCTCAAACCTTCTGATCACACTGCTGTTATTATAAGCAGTGCTTGGGAGACATAAAACACAGGTGTATGATTTGCCCACACCGTCTTGCAGATTTAAAATCTAAAGCAGATTTTAGAACTCTGAAAAAGGCACAGATTCTCACCTTTGGAGTCAAAAGGAAGATAAATCTTAATGTTTAACCAGGTTTCCTTGCACTTTGTCACTAGCTCCTGCAACAGCAGACTTGTCTGAGGGGAGCACACCGTCTTGGAGAGTGCTTCCGTGGTGAGGCTCCTTCCGGAAGAAGAGTGCAAAGGAAAACAGGAGGCCTGTGAAGGTAAGAACTTGTATGTGACAGGGTTCAGGATACAGTACCCCAAATTGTGACAACTTGGTATTTACAAAAAGAGCAGAACCAAGAAGATCCCTCTTTCTTTCACTCTTTTTTCCCAAAGCAGGCCATAAAAGAGCACCTGGTCTTCCTCTAGGGTTGGTCATGAGACTTACAACTGGGGTGGGGTGGGGTGGGAGGGGTCTAAGAATGACAAAATTCTTAGCTGGGAACTCTCAGGGACAGGGAAGAACATGATCTGGACAATTTCTGCAAATTACCCTGCTAGCTACCATTTCATCATATCCTCTGTCCAATCATTCTTCTGCATGCTCTTCACATTCCATCAAGTTGAGCATCAACCACACACAAGATCAGCTATTTCTCTGGTATTTATTTCCCATGAAGGCTCCTATGTGACCTAAAATTTATATTAAATACATTAATGAGATTTTCTCTTAATCTGTCTTTTGTTGTAGGAGCCTGAACCACAAACTTAGCAACGAGTGAAAAAAAAAAAAAACCTGAATTTTTCTGTGCATACAGTAGGAAAATACTAAACCCTTTTAGATGTAAAAATTCTCTGATTCTTATTGCACTCAGAAAGAAAGCAAGCTACTTTCATGTTTCAAGTTTGTGTTTTAAGTTGTATAAATATCGTTAGTTGTTTAGTGTCCATGGGAACCTAAAACAACATGTATTTTAAAGATATTTGCTCTTATGTATTTATCGCTTAAATGGTTATATACTTTTAATACAGAATACTTGTGTTTCACGGTTCCTTGTTGTGAGCCCTCATCAATGCAATGGGGATTTTTTTCCATTGTTACCTTTGTACAAAGCCAAGTCATTTTTTGTTCTATAACAATGTACAACTTAAATTCCCCCATATAAATGCATATAAAACTATTGTCCAATCACTGAAGAATATCTATTTGAAGAGAACTAAAACTTAATTACAAAAGACCTGTCAATCAAATCTTTACTCTCAGCCCAGCACGAGGAAAATACCTTTCCGATGACAATTCTTGAGACAAAGCTCTTTAGTGTTACTATTTAAAGATCCCTATAGGGAGCAGTTCTTGGGCCCTGACAATGAACCACTTCCAAGTCATAAGCATGAACCAGGGCCCTTTGAAAGCACTTCTTAAGTAGATTTGCAACAGACTTTTAGGAAATGAATATTACTTTCATTTTCAATAGGGGTCTATGTTGCCATCACAAAAATAATCTGCTGTGTCTCCTCACATACACTTTTCTGCATTAAAAATACTAGAAAGGTCATAGCTATATTTAAATATTAAATGACACAGAAATCGCCTTCATTTTCAATCCTAAAATTTAGAATTCACAGGACAGTCAGGACTGTTTCACAGAGAAATCCTGTCTCAAAAAACCAATAAAATAAAATTAGGATTTTATAAAGTAGTTCTAATGAGCAGAGTGTAAGTGTTATCCTTGAGGTAAAATCTTCAAAATATTAATGCATTAATATACATATTTCAAGTTTTCAAGTTTTTACAGTAAATATATCACGAATAACCAATACACATCATCTTTCTATTGTGGATATTCTAATAATTGCAAATAGCCTAATTAAGGGTTATCAGTCTATTTTTACATTTGGCTTAAATGGTAGAATTCTTAATTAAAAAATGTTTTGTATACTATATTTTTCCAAGTTTCTTTAAAGATCTCTTAAAACAGACGTATTATGTCAAATTTGCCACAAGTGACAGTTTATAAAGAGTTTTAGTATATGGCCAGTCTGACATTTTGTTTGTAGTTTTAGAGATGGAAGTTGAGCTTTTTCTGAGTAGCAAACACAACTTCAGAGAACTTAAGAGAGTAGCCAGGATTTGCCTTTCCTATGTGGAAGCAAATCCCTATCGGCTTGTTCTTTCCTCACTGGCAGATGAGGGCTAGCATGGAAGTGTTCACTTTCCCCCGTCACCAGGGGACTGAATCACCCCTTCCTTGGTATCGTCTTTGGTAACTCATAGAGGTCATTTATTTAGTCCTCAGTTTTCCTCATACACAAAAAATGTAGGGTTAAACACGTGACTTTCATTGTCATTGATAGTTTTGTCTCATCCCAACCAGCTGAGCTGATGGAGAAAAGGGCTGAGCAGTTAGGGTTGCTCAACATCAAGTACCTAAGGCCAATCAGTTCTTCCTTAGTCGCAATTTCTGCAACCTTCTGTTCTTCCCAGAGCCAAATCCTCTGTTTATCTTCAGTCCTCTGATGTAGCAGTCTCCCTTAAGAAAACAGAAGAAAGCAAATGCTCCCCAAAAACCGTTTTTATGGAAAATGCCTTTAACCTGAGCCCAGTCAGTTAATGTTGCATCACCCCTGTATGGTCTGTAAAACAAAAGGAAACATTTCTTCTTGTTTAAAACCTATATGCCCATTCATTCTATGCATTCTGCTTCTGTACATTTCTTAAAACGCAAGCATTTATTGTCTCAACTGTTAATTATTTTGCAGAGTGATAAACTGTTGTGGGAGGTCCTTCTGCTCCTCCAGCCTATAGCCGCTGAGATACCAGCCCATTGGGGCATGGTCTCTCTCCCTTTAAAAAAGCAGCCACTTGCCTCTCCTCTCTCTCTCTCTTCACTTCCTGATCCGCTGGTGACTAGACTCCCTTCCTGGTTGCGCAGAGGGCTGTTGTCTGGGACGCTGATCTGTAAGTATTTTCCCCTTTAAATAAATACCACCCTATTAATCATAATTCCAAACTGGTGTGGCATTGTTTGTGACTTACGCCTTCAATAAACTTAAATGATTTAAAGTTCAAAAATGTTGGAAAATGATATGATGAAAAGCCTGTTCCTTCTGAGGCCCAGTCACCTAGCCTCTTCTAGGACCAAGTTCTGCCAAAGATATTTAGACATACCACATAAACAAGTGCACAGTCATTCTTTCTCATCTCAAAAAAAAAAAAAAAACAGTAAAACTTTACATGAGGCTGCAAAGCTTCTTTTCTCACTGAAAAATTGTTTCTTAGGCATAATATGAAGCCACAAAGAGTTATGTTTTCCCTTTGCAATTACATGGCATAAATTATGAATTTCCCATAATGTAACCTGAACTTACTGATGGACAATTAGCTTGTCTCCAAACTTTGACTATTGTAAGTAGCACTGCAATTGCTGTATTTATACCTTAGTTCACATATGTCCATGCTTGCCCTATGGGCTCAATGAGTTCCTGTTAACGGGTTTTCAACATAAATGGTATGTGGGTGTAATCTTAACAGATGTGTACAAGTCGTACCTTCACCAACATACTGGCGCTTGACAGTATACATCCTAAAGAAAACTTCTGCTGAGTTTCTCAGAACTTTGTGATTCCTGTTACAAGATGGAACATTTTCAATATGTATGAATTGTTTATGATGATCTTGCTGCGATCTCTTTGTTCTTATGCTTCTCCTGTTTTCTTATATTCTCCTTTTCTTTCTTTACACAGATTTCAACCATTGCCAAGTCCTACCAGTGTGTTTTCTAAAGATTAATTTTTGGAAGCTTTTCATATATAAGGATAGCTCCTGTGATATGTATTGCAACTTGTGGGCCCTGCAGAAATTACCTTTTCATATGATTTATTAAGTGTCATATTTGTGGATTCTGGTTTTTGTAATGTATTTAGAAAGTACCCATTTTTTTTACTCTACTTTATTCCACATGAAGATGATAAAAGAAAATTGTATGTTTTAATCCATTTTTTAAAAATTTGTTTTAAAGTTTGCTTATATATAATATACATATTTATACATACAGAATATACATATATTACTACCTATTGTATTATTTTTATATATTTTATCATTTTATTACTATTGTAAGGGGATCTTGTTTTTTGTTAGATCAATTAACTTATTGCTTTAATTTGTGAAATCTATTAATTTGTGTATATTAATCTTCAGCTCATTCACTGAATTCTCTGGTGGGTTCTTAATTAATTGTCCTGGGATTTTCACATGTACAATTGCATTATCTCTAAGTCCTAACAACTTAACCTCTTCCTAACTCATATTTAAACCTGAAAATTCTTTTTTTTATGTCTTTTGTATTTAACGACCTCAGGGGAAAAGAATTAGACAATCATGTACTGGTAGGCATTCATGCCTCTTACTTGGGATGTCTTACATTTTAGGTGGTCTTCTAATTTTTAATAATTCAGTTTCCTTCTATTCACTAGCACCTTCTAATTTCAAAAACCCTTTGATTTAGCACACATCCTTCCTCTACTCCTCTGAGATAGCACAATCTTCTGTCTACTCCTCTGACATAGTACAGATCCTCCATCCACTCCTCTGAGAAAGCACAGATCCTCCATCCACTCCTCTGAAAAAGCACACATCCTCCATCCACTCCTCTGAGATAGCACATATCCTCCATCTACTCCTCTGAGAACACATATCCTTCCTCTACTCCTCTGAGATAGCACAATCTTCTATCTACTCCTTTGAGGTAGCACACATCCTCCATCCATTCCTCTGAGATAGCACACATCCTCCATCCACTTCTCTGAGAGAGCATACATCTTCTATCTACTGCTCTGAGATACATAGCCCAACTACTTGCTCTCTCAAAGCTATCCACCTTATTCTTCTTCCTCTAGTCTCCTTTTCTGTTTCTATTCACTGTTGCTTTCCATCCAGCTTCTTGCCCCACCACTGGCAAATGAGTTGCACTGGAAGGGACCAAGTTCCAGAGGACACAGTGGCATCAGTGTAAGGGATAATGTCTCAGGTACTGCCCAAGCTTTCTCCGTGCCAGATGTGGCAATTCACGTCCAGTGTCTGCATGAATAGTATCCTTTGGATTCCCTCCACAGCTTGATTTGGTGCCTTGTCTTTGACTGCTGGACTGCAGTCTGGTTTGTTATTCCTCCCACGAGTGACTCTTTACATTGAATGTCCGTTTTTATTAAGCTATTTTAGGTATTGCTCTTGAGATTACCAATGTTTTCAAGTCATTCTAATTGGTCATTCTTTCTTAAAACATTCAAATGTTTAAATTTTATAATGCCACATTTAATTTTTTTTTGGAAACCCTTGTCTCTTTTACTAATAAAGCTTTATTCCCACATATGATTCAAATATTTCCATGTCTGCTGGTAAAGCTTTATCTTTCTGTGGCATGTTCATGCTCATAAGTGATCTCATAGACTTACATGATTGGAACTTTATAATAACTACTGTGGACTTCTTTCTTTACAGCATCTAAGTTCAACCAATCCCTTTCAGATTTGTTTGAGTAACTTTGGACCTAAGTTCTGAGTGATCACATGATCTACCATCATTCCTTTTTTATTTTAATAAATCTTTATTTATTGCATATACAGTGTTCTGCTTGCATGTATACTTGCAGGTCAGAAAAGGCCACTAGATCTCATTACAGATGGGTATGAGCCACCATATGGTTGCTGGGAATTGAACTCAGGACCTCTGAAGAGCAGCCAGTGCTCTTAACCTCTGAGCCATCTCTCCAGCCCACTACCATCACTTCTTACTTCAATTCATGTACTCACTTAACTGATCCCTGATCTAGCTAATTCAATTCCCAGAGGGGACTCCTACCCTGGGTGCTCATGCTCTCTATAGAAGTCAGGTATAAAAGGTTATAATGGAAAATTGATGATGCTCTTTCTCAGCTGAGAGTTCTTTAAAGGGTTGCTTCCCATTACTGATGGCTGAAACCCAAAATGCTTAGCCTGACCTTTAAGAATTTCATTTACCTATGTCCTTTCTACCTTGCTAGTCTTTCAGTACATTGCATTAAAAATTGTTTTGATTACTTTTTGTCTCTGCAGTATGATACTTGTATATAATATACAGTGATTAACCACCCCCATCCACATCCGCCCTCTTTCATCTCCCCGAGCAAATGGCAATGGAAGGCTTTTTGTAGCCAAGGAAGTCATGCTCTTCATTAATGGAGCCACTGTTGAGTGACTCATACTCCAGTGAACAGATTCTTATTCTCATGCTCATGAGAGAGGCCCTGGTTAAACCCAGTGAGTCACAAAGTGAAAGCAAGTAAGTAAAATAATGGATGGGATAGGGACTGTGGAGGGGCAGACTGGTGGGGGTGAGAGAGGATAGGAGAGCAGGAAGTGTGACCCAAACATAAATGTGTGCACCGTTGTAGACTTGGATACATGTATACAATTGCAAAAAAAAAGATTAGTAAAAATAATAAGTTAAGCCATTGTTTTATGCTGTATTGTCATTGTAGAGCAATAAAAGAAATATTTGGCCAACCAAAATACCATCCAGACCAGGAAGCCACTTTCTCCCTGGACTAGTACTCATAGTTCTCCCCTTTCTTCCCCAGAGTTGCTGACTGCTTCATCTTTGCTGAAGCTAAATAGACACATGCCTTTCTAGAGAGGCTTCTAAAATCCTCTATTGACCACGACACTTCTTGTTTAGCTCCAAAGGCTCCTTAGAAATCTTAAAGGTTAAATGTGTTTTTACTTTCTGATTCCTCTGTCAGTGCTGCCCAGTGTCAGATATCAACAGAAAATGTGTTGACAGAGGAATCTGCAAATTTCCATTTGCAGACTTCCAGCCCATGCGATTGAGATGAGAGCACAGTCAGGAACAGAGATGGCAGGCATATGTTTCCACTCTCAACTTTTCAAACTAGTCAGACTCCTGGCTTTTACATCAACCCTTTCATGATATGCACATGTACACCAAGATGTTGTTGTTGATGAAGAGTTAACGCCAATGTATTGTAATGGTGTTAAGGTAAATAACAGTTCATCAGTAATGCCATTTTATGCCCACATTAATCTTGATTCATCAATAGATACCCTCTGCCATTCTGTGTCTTTCTTTATACTTTAACAAAGCTAAGACCAAGTAATGAATCACATAATTATTCATTTAATATCTGTCTCCCATGCTAACCTGAAAGTCACTGAAGAGAAGGGTCTATGTGTCTTATTCATGACTACCAAATGAAGCATGTTCAGTCTATATTAAATATTGTTAAACACATGAAGTGTCTCTTTTATCATAAAATTTGAAAGAGTAGTTCTCTCATTAATTGTCAATGATTCTTCTAGGGGCAAAACATTTACTAGTTCAGTACAGTTACTCTTCATTAGGCAAAAAGGTCAGGTCCTCAAGGATTTCTCTCACATTATTAATTCAGAGACATAAAGGACTTTTAGTTTTTCTGGGTATGTGAATTTAAAGTAAAATATCTATGGATTTTTTGAGAACCTAATATGCTTCACCATAATTTAAGTCATTGTTAAGATGGAATTGAAGTGTGGAGGCAAATTTAAGGGTTAGACAGCATTTCTGCGACCCATCCAAAGGGAACAAAGAAAATTCAAGAACAAAGACAAATCCTAAGATGTAGTAGGAAGGGGGTCGCTTGTTCTTCCTGGCCACCCAGCTAGCTTAGCCATGAAATAACCACACAGAAACTGTATTCATTAAATCACTGTTTGGCCCATTAGCTCTAACTTCTTGTTGGCTAACTCTTACATCTTAATTTAACCCATTTCTAGTAATCTGTGTATTGCCACATGGTTGTGGCTTACCAGCAAGGTTCTGTGTCTGACTCTGGCTGTGGATCCATGGCATCTTGCTCTCTCTGCTTTCTTCCTCCAAGAATTCAGTTCTGTCTTCCCCGCCTACCTAAGTTCTGCCCTATCAACAGGCCAAGGCATTTTCTTTATTCATTAATGAAAGCAACATATAGACAGAAGGACTTCCCACACCACTGAGATTTCCACATATCCATTGATCACAGCAATGACAAAATCTTTCATTTACATATATACAGATATATCCATATGCATGCAATATTTACATATATTTCATGCCAAAACAATATTTTCCCCACCAAATGGTAGCAGTTAAACATGGAGTTACTGGTTCATGAAACAAATAGCACTGATGGCTTTGAGAACCCGGCCGGTACTCTCTAATTTGTTCTATTCATGAAACCAGCTACTTGGGCTTCATATTTTTATAAGAGAAAGATCCTAGGGCAGCTGAACTACTAACAATCTGTTATCTTTGAGTCTGGATTCCATGTTCTTACATATTTTGAAAATTCTAGCACTCAAATGGTTAATCTATCTTTAACACATGAGTTGCACCAATCCTCTTCATCCCTCTTCAGCTGCAGAAGCAATGATTATCTATAGGTTATGACTTGTAGGGGAGGTGGGAAATGGTGTCCCCAGTAGTGAATGTTTCAGTTACTTCAGAGAAGAAAGGGTTGAAGTTAAATTAAAAGGCAAAAGCTAGATCATCTAGAAGCATCTTGATATGTTTCCAAGGAATTTGAGGAAAAACATGAACTCAGGATAGCACATGCAGGATTGAGGAGAAAGAAAAAGAGTCTGGGATGATCTGCAAAGGTCTCAATTATGCTCACAATAGATTGCATAGCTCTGCAAACTGAAGTGGACGTTTGCTAACACAAAACCTCAGGAATTAAACCTGGCATACTCTTGAGATTTTTATCAAACATCTTGACCTAGGTCAGGAATGTTGAATGCCATTAGTGAGGGATAGTGAAATATATAGACATTGCTTAGTGCATTTTTGAAAAATTTGCCATGATGTCCATGAACAAGCAGACAAGCAAGAATGTGGATAAGAACATAGAGATACATTAGAAGACAAACCCTAGAAGATAAAGAGCAATTCAGCATTGATGACTGACACGAAAGGAAGAACTAAGTCGGAATTAGATCTTAAATCAGAAATTTTTACTAAAGACCAAAGGTTTACACAGTGAGAAGGTATGGGAGCTCTAAAGCTAAGGAGTTTTCATAGAAGCACAATAGAATTACACAGCATTCTAATAGCAGTTTGGTTGTTCAATAGACTGAGCCCTATTCTAGGGTGCCTGAGTTGAAGGAAATGGAAAATAAACCAGAAGCTTTCTTTGAGGATCTCTTAAATTTCTGAGACACTAATTCATGCTTCATTTCATTTTAAAGGGAAGGAATAGTAAAGGCAAAGACATGAGGACATTTGTTCCTAGTGGTGTGATGGCCCTAAAGGGATCAAAGTCAAAGATGGCATCGAGTATGCTGGTAGGTAGATGTGCTTAGAAACAAGCTGAAGTTTCTGCCTCTTTGAAGGCTGTTCAAAGGAATAAAAGAAGGTGGAAGGACCAGTAGCATTATCATTGATACAACAACTTAATAAATTATACTTTTGCATGTTAGTTCAACAGTGGTTTTTATGTGGCTAAACTCAAGGTGGTAGGGCTGGATTTCTTTTGGGTGGCCCTAGGAGTAATGCCTGTTTTGACTTATTAGTTGTGCACTATATCTTGGTGCATATTCTCTTTCCTCTATCTTCGAAGTAAGGGCACAGCCTCTCTCTGACCATTCTAAGGCATGATATTCTGTCTCTTGTTTTCTGTCTTCTTTGGCTTTTAAGGACGATGTGATTACACGGTACCCACCTGGATAATGCAGGGGCACCTCACCATTTGTAAAGTCAGCCAATGGTAACCTGAATTCCATCCGAAGATCTTTCACCTTTGCCATGTAACCTTCTGTGTTTCTAGGTTTAGAAGATGGTGTGTTTCTAGGTTTTGAAGATTGTCATGTGATTGGAGATTTTTACCTGAAGTAAACTGATGAGGTTTGCAAATTGTAAAGATAAAGATGCATACTGTTATTAATAATAGCTGGTAGAGCTTTATCAGAACAGTTTTCAAGATCCAAATGGCATTGCTGGGAACAGGAACCGGATCAGAACTGCTCCAAGTTTGCTGTGATCACCAAGAAATCCCCAAGTTTATGTTTAAAATACCTCAGTGGCTAATAATACCTCAACCTCAATCAGAAATAATGTCTCCTGGATTTTGTGTCAGACCAGTTCTTAAGGTGTTACACAAACTAAGGCACCTTTACTACTCTAAGGAATGAATAATCATTTTCCTTACTTTCACTTGAGGAAACTTATAGAATTGGTAATTTACCAAAGATCACAAACCGGGAGACTGTGAACTGAATTCCTTGCAGCAATTGCTTTTAACATCAATTACAATTATATATCCTTATGTGCATCTTTCTGGTTTGATGTACAAGGAGTCACTGATGATTATTATTATGAATAAGATATCAGAGGACAATTTAGAAACAATATTTGAGCTTAGGCAGGAACTAGTGAAACCCCAAAGGAGAGCAAAGTGACTTTTCATTACGTAGGCTATAGGGATGATGATGACATGGGCTTTGTTAGTTCAGTGTGATTGGAACACAATTGCAAAAGAACCTGCAGGTCTAGGCTCTCTCTTTTTCCATTCTATTGAGAAAACACCTATTGATTATTGGCAGTTGGGAAGAAATTGTACAATATGCAAGGTAACAAATTAAGACTTAAAAGTGATAAGAATTTACCCGAAAACTGCCTAATAATGCATGAAACCATCCATTCATTGCATGGCTTTAGTTTGTGTAGGTTCTTCCTCTCCAGGTTCTCTGATCATTAACCACCTCCCACCTTTACACGTGTTTTCTTACTTGCTTTCAGTGCTATCCCTTTTGTTCTCCCCACCCCATTTCTTTGTCCCTTCACTTGTTTCTCTCCACCGTCTAAAGTATTATTTCCTATCTACTATCTACTAATATCTTACTCGAGCCTCTATGGAGAGCCAGAATTTTGTTTTACAACACTCAAGTTTTCTTGAATTATTCGAGACAGTTCTCTCTCTGTCTCTGTCTCTCTTGCTGATCTCAAATCTACAGAGATCCACCTGCCTCCCAAGTGTTGGATTAAAGGCCTGTGCATCCATACCTGTCTTAATTTA